TCCCCCACTGGTGGTGGTGGTGGTGGTCATGTGCCGTGGAGTCGGTTCTGACTCATAGCGACCCTGTACAGGGTTTCCGAGGCTGTACATCTTTATGGGAGCACAAAGCCTCATCTTCTCCTGAGGAACAGCTGGTAGTTTCAAACTGCTGACCTTGGGCGGTTCACAGCCTGATTCGTAACCACTATGCTACCAGAGCTCTTTCACTATTTCCAAGACAGTCAATTTTAACATTTCCAGTTTCATGCTTATCAATTTATTGAGGAGGTTCTATGAGCCCAGGACATTAGCTACTGGGATCCTGCTCAAGAAGCCACAGTTTAATGTGGAAACAGAGATACTGAAAACTAGAATTAAGGGCAGACTTTTAAATAGTGTGGTGTTAGCTATTGAACTCCTAGGAAGTTCACTAGCAAGAGACACAAACTGTGATGTGTATGTGTGTGTGTGTGCGTGCGTGTGTGTGCGTGTGTGTGTGTGCGCACGTGCACTCAACAGATTATGCAAAGCAGATGCTCTGTGTGAGAGAACCAAAAAGGGAAAATGGAATTCCCATTCCAGTGATTGAATTGACGGGGTCTAGAATTCTCTACTGTAGAAAAAATTACACAGAGCAACACGGCAGCTTTCCAAGCCTCCAGTCTTAAAACTCTTAAAATCTGTTGCCCAGGCAAACATATATAGGCCATCTCCAAACAAAGCTATTTAATAAAGGTGAGTGCCATAGCAGAGCGAGAGAGGCATGAAGTGAATGAAACATGAGAGAATACCAAGTGTGAGAGAGGAGAGAAATCATGTAAGGGTCTGGCCAGACCTGTTCAGCAAGACACACATTTTTTCCTTTGCGTATGGAATGTGTTTTCCTCTGGCCTGCTGTTCCATTCATAGGTGAGCCCTTTCTCGGCCCCTTTCCTGGCCCTTCCCAACTTGAACGTGGTTTCGTTGAGCTCTGAGCTGCAAGGTTTTCAGCCCTGTACTGGTAAAGGAGTTCTGGTAGCGTAGTGGTTATGAATCGGGCTGCGAACCGCAAGGTCAGCAGTTCGAAACTACCAGTTGTTCCGCGGGAGAAAGATGAGGCTTTCTGCTCCCGTCAAGATTTACAGCCTCGGAAACCTTGTACAGGGTCGCTATGAGTTGGAACCGACTCCACGGCACATAACAACTAGCTAATCAAGTTTGGACTCAGCCCCCACCAAGGGGTTATTAGGTTATTAGCGTCATTCATTCGCTCATTAAGCAAACTGTACTTGAGAGGTTAATGGATAAAAGCAGAAATCATTCACAGGTGTTAATCATGAAGGACTTAGAAGGGCAGACCAGGTAGACAATGAAATGTGGTCAAGTGTTTCAGGTACAGGAGAATATAAGTGAGTCCGTAGAGAACACTGCAAGACCCTACCGTCAAGGTATTCAACCAGGAAGTTGGGAGTCCCACCCTTTCCCAGGAGTGGAGTGTTGGATGGTTGGGGAGGGGTGGAAACGTCAGTCAAGTTCAGAAGAACTGCTGTTTCAGCAACCAACGGTCAGTGCTGCAGTCAGCCCCACCCAGCGAGGCCCCGCCCAAGGAAGGAGGGCGAGCCACCTGACTTAGTGGAACAGCAGCTGCACGCCAGAAAAAGACCCACAGAGAACGCTACGTGGCCTCGGAAGTGATTCATCCACGAGCCACTAGAGCACAGAGTCTTAGTCACAGTGTTTCCCAGCTTCCCTTGGTCTTTAGCCAGTGCTGGCTCCTTCAAAGTAGGATTCCTTGTTTGTGGCCCTGGTCAGTACTCTTGAGGTGAGACCATGGCATCCCTTCCAGTTTGTGTGTGTTATTGAGTGAAGGTTTACAGGCAGATCATCAATTTTACATGCAACAAATCACACAGTTTTTTTTTCATCTCAGCAATTGCAATCCCTTCTATGCAATAACAGTTGTCCTGCTTCCTCCCTGTGGTTCCTATTTCCATTCCACCCTCCTTCCCAATCCCTCTGAGCCTTGTTCCCAGGTTTTGGTCTTAAGTGTTTGACCGTTCCATGGTGAGCATACCTCACTAGTGTTGCTGTCCCCCTATATACCTATTCATCTCTTGGTTGAAAATTAATCCACGAGGGTGAGTTCCCTTCTAGACCTGAAGGGTGGTCAAAGGCCATAGTCTCCATTTTAAGCACTTAATTTCAACTTCACAATCTTAAATCTCCCGGCCAGCCTCTACCTAGCATTGTTAGTACAAAAGGTTTACTAGACAAATAGGACGACAGCTGTCTGCTGTATTCACAATCCATTCAATGAATAAAACTTCTGGGGATAGGAACGGGGACCAGGAGGTCCATCATTTGATAATAAGTGTTGCCAAGGAAGGAGTGGAAGAGGAGTCACCTGAGATCTGAACGCTCTCAGAGGGCTAGTAAGACTGGTTAGGAAGAAGATATTCAAAATGGCTAGGCTTTTTCCAACCTGTTTCAGCTTGTATTTCTTAGAAGTTGGTTGATTAGCGTATCTTTCTATTTTGGGGTCCTACCACACAGTTCCTGGGTGGCCCAAATGGTTTAATGAAGCACTTGGCTGCTAAGAGGTTGGTGGTTCACAGGCACTCAGAGGCACCTTGGAAGAAAGATGTTGTGGTCTACTTCAAAAAGATCACACAGCTCAAAGCCTGTTCTTGAGCCATTGAAAACTCTATGGAGTATAGTTCAATTCTACAACACATGGTGTCATCATGAGTCAGACTAGGTCAGCAGTGAGTTTATCCTGCTGCATTCCCTTTCTTACTTCTCTAGCTTTGTAATGCACTCTGGGTTTCCTTCTACCCTGCCCCGTGAAAAAGGTCAATTAGATGTCCCACAGCACATTTCAACATCCAGGATCTTAGGGAATTGATAGTGAAGTGTTCTGCCACTGAGCTTGTTGCTAAGTGTCGCCAAGTCAGTTCCAACTCATAGCAACCCTGGAGAGGGTTTCCAAGGAGTGGATGGTGGATTTGAACCTCCAACCTTGCAGTTCAAACTGACCTTGCGATCCAGTGCATTATCTTGCAGCGCCACACCAGGACTCCACTCTGAGCTTGTTGTTGTTGTTATGTGCCATGGAGTTGGTTCCGACTCATAGCAACCCTGTACAGGGTTTCTGAGGCTGTAAATCTTTATGGGAGCAGAAAGCCTCATCTTTCTCCCGCGAAACAACTGGTAGGTTCGAACTGCTGACCCTGGAGTTAGCAGCCCGATTCGTAACCACTATGCTACCAGAGTTCCTTCCACTCTGAGTTTAGGCCCAGGTATTTTAAAACCTCTGTAGCATCTAACTCCTTTCCTGAGGTGTTTAACAATGGGGATGGGAATTCCATGTCCTTCTCCTATAGGTGACTCACTCAGCTCACTTCTCTTGAAGGACATACAGTGTTGGACTTCCAGAGTTAATCCAGGCAAAGCTGACTCCCTCCCACTAAACACTGCCATCTGAAACCCATGTTATCCGTTTATACCACTAACAGACTGAATGGAAGACAAGGGAAAGGGTGTGGTTTCCACTGGTATTCATCTCACAGTGGACTTTGCAGCATTAATGTGCTGCTTCCTTCAAGAGAGCTGCTTTCCAGATGAATCATGTCAGATCCTGGTTTATTGCATGCTCTCGAGTAACACATTCTTTGCTATGCTGATTCCCATACTTCTCTGGGTATTCAAGGGTAGAATTTACAGTTTTTAAGTGTAATTGCTCAGTCCTCATGTTCACCAACTCCTACCTTTTCCTCTAGAAAGGACAACATTTAGGGATCTCTGTTCACATCTGTCAGCTGCAGGACCCATGTGGAAAGCAAAAATCAGGTTCCTGCTAGCACTTTTCAGTAGGGAAAATACCAGCCTCTCCAGCTGCGCTCAAAGTCTATTCTTGGGGATTTTTTTTTTTTTTTAGGGACATGGATAGGGAGAGGAGGAGGAAGTGATATTTTACAATGTTTATGTAAATTCACTTGTTTCCTATCCAGTAGTGATTTTAAGTGATGTTAGTCCAAGCTTCTCTATTCTGGCTAAAGCATTCCTTCCAATTAAGCCAAACTTCATTGAGTTCCTATCCTATTAAGTGCCAGGTTGTTGATGAGACATAGTCCCCCAGATCATTATACCCAAATATAATAATCTGACATATTTCCTTTACTTTCTTATTAGACCCTTCATGATAAAAAAGCTCTTGCTCTTCCACCTTACCCCAAACTCTGAAACACCTCTTCTGTCCAGGGCTGCCAGAAGACAGATCAACCCACAAGGACTTGGGGTTTACCGTTACTTTTATTTCCTGGTCGATGGCACATAACAACAAGAAGTTATCTTCCCAAGAGAACTAGAGCATGGACTTTCAGTAGCTTTTACTGGAGTGAGACTAGTTCATTTTACCATCGGAGATGCAAATGTTTTTATCACATTAAAATGACAAGTACAGAACTTCAATGAAGACACCAAGAAGGGACTTCAAAAAGTTCATGGGAATTTTTCATTATCTTTTCATTCCATTTTTCCACAAACTTTATGAAGCCCCTTCATACAGTAATCTGTAACCAGATTTCTAAACCCTGGAATCAGATGGAACAGTTAAGCTTGGAAGGTTGAAGTTTTCATATTAAGCAGATTTGACTGTGTGGGTTGATGGTACTCAGCCACAGATTACCAGTGCTGAAAGAAATGATGAAATATCTGTTCTTTCAGTTGGTGCTTTGTCAGTTAAAAAGGACATTGTCATGCTTTCCCAAATGACTATCATTTTTTACTCTTCATTAGGTGATTTATGCAGAATTAGCTGGCAGCTAGACAAATCCCCCATTCAAAACGCTAATACGTGAGGTGTCTATTTTCATTAGCAAGAGATCCCAATTGGGTCTTAGATTCATTGAATTTATAGCCAGAAAGGAACAAATGATCATTCTAATCATCCCCCTTTCAATGATCGATGAAAGACCTTGTAATCCTTGTGGCCTAAAAGTTCATGTAAACCCTGTTTCTTTACATTCTTTAACAGACTCCCAACAGACCTCACCAAAATGCCATCTCAAATGGAACATGCCATGGAAACGATGATGTCCACGTTTCACAGATTTGCTGGGGATAAATGCTATTTAACGAAGGAGGACCTGAGGGTGCTTATGGAAAAGGAGTTCCCTGGATTTTTGGAAGTAAGTGCTGCAAAGTGCAGAAAGAACCTGACAGAAAAATCAATGCTCATAGGCCTCGGCTCCTTTCCCTACTAGAAAGGTGTTTTCATTCATTTGTTGATTACACATAACTGAGTGCCTACTATTATTTGTAATATACTATGCGAGGAAAGTGATGATGACACAGTTCCTACCCTCAAGGAACTCACAATCTGGAATTAAGACTACATACAAACAGTCATAACAGGAGGTGTTTGTTAGAAAAACTCCTTCCTGAGCCATCTGCATCCACTGAGATGACTGTGTTGGGGAAGAGGCCTTTGAGAGAGAGTGGTCAACCAGGGGATTGGTTGCACTGAGGTCCAAAAACTTGGAGCTGGAGGTGCCACATCCTGGTCAGATTCTACTTTGAACAACTTGAGTCTCCCTTCTTAAGTCCCTTCAGATCAAGGGATTTTTCAAATTATTATTTTCTCATCTCTAATCTGCAAGAAACGTTGTTGACTATCTATAAATGAGAGCCAAGCTTCACTCAATAACTAACTGCTTTTCACATTGACAATGCACTGAGAACACAGAAGCCAGCAGCGTTTGGGCTATTGTCTCACCTTTAACAGACCCAGGAAGGATTGCTGAAGATTAGACGAGGACTCTGCTGTCAGCTTAGATACATTACTCAGGATATCAGACCACAGGGCATAGGTTTCCTTTTACATTGCAGCCACCCTCAAGAGACAGTTTTAGAAGTTAACTGAAGGTAAAACACTGCCTGACAAAATGCTAGATTGGAGTGTCAGACTTGGTTTTCCTGCCACAGATACAATCACTTTGAAAGGTTCGTTACTTCGCTTGGTGTTGAATAATGCATTAACCTTTAAAGGGTGAAGGGAAAGGACTGTAAAAGGCTGGGCCCTGCCTCTTGTCATCTGCCTGGTAAACAGCACATTCGTTAAGTCCCTGAGTCTTAGGTCAGTAAACAAGGGGCTTTGCGGTGCAATATGATTTATATCTCATCAATACCAGTTATATGAACAAATAAAAAGAGCTTGACTCAAAGCTGCAATTAGTACAATACTGTCTCGGAACCAGTTAGATTATAGTAACTCTGTTTCTAGAGTTCTATGATTTAGCCCCGGAGTCTGTTAGTGGTATAAACGGATAACATGCTTAGCTGCTAATCAAAAGGTTGACAGTTCTAATCCACCGAGAAGTAACTCAGAAGACTGACTTACCAATCTACTCTTGAGCCATTAGCTCTTGAAAACCCTTTAGAGCACAGTTCTACTCTAACACACAAGGGGTCACTATGCGTCAGAATCAACGTGACAGCAACTGTTTTTTTATGATGTAGTCCCCAGGAGTTAGAAGATCCAACTCTGTCCTAATTTAATGGTAGACAGATTGCTTCAGCTCTCTGAACTTCAGTTCCCGTCTCTGTAAAATGAGAGGGCATGGTATGATTAACGCCAAGTTACCTTCACTTTCTATGATTCTTCAAGGCAAGTATAAAATGCAAGGACAGAATGGCCTCATTGTAAGCCTATCACATGAACAGTTGTGAATCATGTGGTGGTATAACTTAGAAGCCAGGGTAAATATCATGTAAGACACAGACCCTCCTACCCAAAAGGCTTTGTAGCATGGGGAACTTAAAGGGCATATGTAGCAGGAAGTACTGAAGATAGCAGGGTAGTTTATTCTAGGCACAGGGTCATAATTCCAAGTACGCCCACACTTACTGCATCGACTGGAGCATTTTGTTTCTAAAATTGACCCCTCATGTCATCCAAATTTTACTCATTCTGACCACAGCCCACTTAAAGTATAAATAGCTGCATACAGCAGGTTTCAGTGAACTCCTTAGAGTAACAGTTTGTAGTTCTTTTGTAGGAAATGCTGCTGCTTTAACTTTAGGAATTTCTCAATGCACTTATTAACGCCCAGCACATTTGAGACACTGTAGGTGCCCTCATTTAGTGACACTGTAACTGGAATTCATAAATTCTTTATCTGAGCCCTTTAACACTTTCTAACAGGCCAGGCCTCCCTCTCGGCTTGATGACATGGACTCATAAGAGAACCCACACTTTTCCCTCCGAACTAGCAGAACTACAAAAAGAACTGAGCCAGCCAATCACTTTGGAAACAAGATGAAAACAAAGGGAATTCTGCCTGCTTAGTTCAGCCCCAGTCACTCAGACCAGATGTCAAGAGTCTTGAGACTTTATGACTGCATTATATGTACTCATTTTGAAACCCATCCAAAGAACAATGTTCAGCAAAAGTATAAGATGACACAAATGTATCAACTCATAAAGAAGGCATTTTAGAGATACTCCTCAATTGATATTTGATACCTACTAAGCTATGTAACATACATCACTCAGGCACACTAGGCTGGCCTCAGTTTTGCCAAGGAGAAATGAGAGCTGTCTCTTCATCCTCTCCAAACCTAAGAATACCCTATTAGCATCTTTACTCCCTAAATAACCTTATGACTTTTTTTCATAACAAGTTTCCCTTTTCAAGAGTTGACCATGCTGTCAGGAATAAACGCTTACTAAGAGAATGTAGTTGTTGTTATGTGCTGTGGAGTCGGGTCCGACCCATAGCGACCCTGTACAGGGTTTCCGAAGGTGTAAATCTTTATGGGAGTAGAAAGCCTCATCTTTCTCCCGAGGAGCGACTGGTAGTTTCGAACCGCTGACCTTAAGGTTCGCAGCCTGATTCGTAACCACTACGCTACTCCGCGGGAGAAAGATGAGGCTTTCTACTCCCGTAAAGATTTACACCCTCGGAAACCCTGTACAGGGTCGCTATGGGTCGGAACCGACTCGACGGCACTTAACAACAACAACAAGAGAATGTAGGGAGTCTGGGTGTGGCAGTGGGTTAATGCACTGGACTGCAAGGTTGGTTTGAACCTCAAGGTCAGTGGTCCAAACTCGCCAGCCGCTCCTAGGAAACCCTATATGGGGTCGCTATGAGTTGAAACCTACTATGTCATTTAACAACAACAACAAGAGAATGTATATTTAAACTACATAATGGGAACTCTAGGAAGGCCCTTAAAGAGCTCTGGTAGTGTACTGGATTACGAGCTGGGCTGCTAACCTCAAAGTCAGTAGTTCGAATCTACCAGTTGCTCTGAGTGAGAAAGATGAGGCTCTCTACTCCCGTAAAGGCATACAACCTCGAAAACCTTATCGGTGGCACACAACTACCACCACCACTAGGATGGATGGTCCTTTGACAGAACTTGTGATTTAAAAATTATAACAGTTAAACTGGCCAGTCAGAACGCCATATGGATTCATAAGTGGCAAGAACTCTGGCTTAAAATTTAGGACACCTGCATCTAGGTTCTCTGGCCCAAGTCTTCTCTTCTGAGCTCTCTGAAATTGGCTATTTCTAAGGCTCCTGGTGTGGCGGTATGGATTTATGCATCAGACTGCAAAGCTATTTGAACTGCAAGGTTGGCAGTTCAAGCTCACCAGCTGCTCCTCAGAAACTCTATATGAGGTTGCTATGGGTCAGAACAAATTTGATGACACTTCACAACAACAAGGTTCCTACAGTTATATGAAAGAATGTCACAGGAACCTGTTTCCTGGCTTCAAATAAACATGAATTGACTGACATGCTCCCACAAAGTGTAGCATGTAGGTAACCTCTAAAAAAGTCTTATGACCCAAAACAAGAGTTTAAATAATTGGGAGACTGTACTCGTGTTTGTCAGCTGTAAATCAAATAAGTACCTTATTGTAACCATTGACTGAGATTTCTTGCTTTTTTTTTTTTTCAGAACCAAAAAGACCCTCTGGCTGTTGACAAAATAATGAAGGACCTGGACCAGTGCCGAGATGGCAAAGTGGGCTTCCAGAGCTTTCTTTCACTCATTGCTGGGCTCACCATCGCATGCAATGACTATTTTGTAGTACACATGAAACAGAAGGGAAAGAAGTAGATGTAGGCAGAGTTGAGATATCACTCCCACCCTGTTAAGAGTCATCCCAAAGAGCTGCTTAAGGAATCTGCCCTACAGCTTTCCCCTGTGTAAGGATTTCATGAGCAGATCGGGACCCTTGAGAATGTGTACAAATAAAATCTATCCCATTTGACAAGGAGAGAAAGAAAAGTCAATTCAACGCCAGATAAGCTTCTGATTTTTATATTGTTTGCATCCTCTTGCCCTCAATAAAAATTCCTTTTTTAATACCTAATCTGAGATTGAATGTTTGTTCCTTCAGAAATCCTTATTCCCGTCTTCATTTTACCAAGCACCAGCATGCCCTTGGGCACAGCACAGACCAGTAGAATGGAAACACTCTCCATTCAGACCCGGAGTCTAACTTCCCTGATTGATCTGACTTCTGTTTTCAAAAAGTTTAAATTGCCATCAAGTTGACTCCAACTATTGGTAACTAACTCATGCATGTCAGAGTAGAACTGTGCTCCACTGGATTTTTAACGACAGATTTTTGGGAAGTAGATTGATCCCCAGACTTTCTTCTGAGGGACCATTGGGTGGTCTCAGGCCTCCAACCTTTCAGTTAGTAGCTCATCCCTTTAAGGGCTCAAACTCCAAGGATTAAGAGAAAGCACAAAACTACTGAACACTGTCTTGCCTAGTTAAATCACTGCCTTTTCAACTTTTCACTGCAAAGTCTAGGGCAAAAATAAATCTATTAAGAAAACTAACCAGAGAGAGAGAGCGCATCTAGTGTGCTGACCCACTGCTTGTCTATTCTGACTCATAGTGATCCTTTAGGATAAAGAAGAACTGTACCCTAGAGTTTCTGAGACTGTAAATCTTTATAGTCTTTTATGGAACAGCCTGTGAGTTTGAAGCACTGACTTCCAGTTAGCTGCTCAACTCTTAACTCCCCGTATCTAGTGTGATGTAATATCAGTAATAATATTACACTAACATTTATGGCATTAAACAGCAATGGTTGTTAGGTGTCATCAACTTGCTTCTGACTCACAGCAACCTCATATATAACAATGAAACACTGTCCAGTCCTGAACCATCCTCACAAGTATGCTTGAGCCAATTGTTTCAGCCACTGTGTCAACCCATCTCATTGAAAGTCTCTCCCTTTTTCAACTGACCTACTTTACTAAGCATGATATCCTTCTCTAGGGACTGGTTCCTCCTGAGATCACCTGTCTAAAGTATGAGACTGATTTTCACTTCTAAGAAACATTTTGAATGTACTTCTTCCAAGACATATTTGTTTAGTCTTCTGGCAGTCTATTGTACCTTCAATATTCTTTATCAACATCATAATTCAAATGCATAAATTATTTTCCATTCTTCCTTATTCATTGTCCAGCTTTCACATGCATATGAGGTGATTGAAAATACTATGGCTTGGTCAGGCACACCTTAATCTTTAAAGTAACCTTTTTGATCTTAACACTTTCAAGAGGTCTTTTGCAGCAGATTTTTACAGTGCGATTCACTGTTTGATTTCCTGGCTGCTCCTTCCATGGGCATTGATTGTGGATGCAAGTAAAAAAATCTTTGACAACTTCAATCTTTTCTCCATTAATCATGATATTGTTTTATTGGTTCAGTTGTGAGGATTTTTATTTTCTAACCAATGATTTGTTGTTGTTGTTGTTAGGTGCCGTCGAGTCAGTACCAATTCATAGCACAACAGAATGAAACACTGCCTGATCCTGAACTAACCTCACATTTGTTGCCATGCTTGAGACCATTGATGCTGCCACTTTGCCAGTCCATCTCACTGGGGGTCTTCCTCCTTTTCTCTGACCCTCCACCTTACCAAACATGATATCCTTCTCCAGCAATTGCTCCCTCCTGACAATATGTCCGAAGTTTGGCAATCCTGGCCTCCAAGGAGCACTCTGGCTGCATTTCTTCCAACACAGATCTGTTGGTTCTTTTGGCAGCCCATGGCACTTTCAATATTCTCCTCCAACACCATAACTCAAAAGCATCAATTCTTCTACAGTCTTTCTTAGTCACTGTCCAGCTTTCACATGCATATGAGGTGATTGAAAATACCATGGCTTGGGTCAGGTGTACCTTAGTCCTCAAGCTGACATCTTTTTCTTCAATACTTTAAAAAGGTCTGGTGCAGCAGATTTACCTAATGCACTACGTCATTTGGTTTCTTGACTGCTGCTTCCATAAGTGTTAATAGTTGATCCAAGAAGAATGAAGTCCTTGACAACTTCAACCAATGGTAGGGAAAAGGAAGTATCATCTTCACAGTGGGTATGTAAATTTGTAAAAAATCTGAAGCAATGTGTTATTCCCTGCAGGTTACCCTGACCCTCTGACTTTCAGAAAGTGGTCCAACACACACAAGAGTCACTATGTGTGTGTGTGTTGGGAGTGATATTGTCCTCATGTTAGCCTCACTTCTCAGCATCTAGTAAATAGCTCGCACAAGGAAAATAAAACTGGTACTTAGCTCTCCTTCCAACAAAAACACACAGATCCCACAGTCTGACCTGCTGAAACAGCTGTCCAGGCTTCAGGGACCGCAGCCAAATGGCTCCCAGAGGGCAAAGCTGCAACGATGCCAATTGTCATCAGGAGGAACCATCTGGAAAATTCCACCGAGTCAACTACAAGACTGAGTTGTAAAAAGCAGACCCCACCCCTCTGGCATGCAGATAGTTACAAAGAACGAATGGATAACAGTGTAGAAAACCATTTTGAAACATGCTATAGAGCTGACCCTTAAAAAAAAATCTCATTTTTTTCTGAGACCTGTTCTGTTGTTCCTGAACATCAGTAAGCTACCTATAATTCTTTCCTATCCACCCCTCTCACCCTGGAAAACCAAATCCATACACCTTTCTTTCAATTTAACCAATTTGTTGTTGTTGTCAAGTGGTATACTGTTGGTTCTGACTCATAGCAACCATGTATAGTATTTCTGGGGAGTGACTGTGTGTTTGAACTGCCTACCTTGGTTAGCAGGCCAATGCTTATCCTAGAGTGCCACAACTGGACTCCTTTAACCAACTTAGAGGTGATTGTTTAAATACATTTTCCAATTCTCAACTTCAGAGGAATAGTTGTGAGTAGAAATTTATTCATTTGACAAATTTTAACAAAATTCACTGTGTGAATGGCACCAGCAAAATTCTATGGCACCCCCCCCCAAAAAAAACAAACAAACAAACAAACAAAAAGCTAAAGAGGATAGAGAGAAACACTGTTAACTGATGATATATGGAGGGGATAATAATCAATGTAATGAAACAAGCTATATGAATGGTTGAATGTGAAGCTGATGATGTGCCCTGTAAACTTTCACTCAATCCAAAATAAAAACATTTAATAAAATAAATAAATAAAATAAATTCTATGGCAAGTACAAAGAAGCAGGTGTCCACATTGCTTGCTCAAGGAGAATACAGTCTAGATCAGAAGATAGCAGATAGAACCGATAGCATGTTAAATAACAACAACAGCACTGGCAAGGGAGAAATGTGATAGGCACCCTTTGTCATTGTTGATAGGAATGTAACTTAGACACCTTTTGAGGAGGCACACATTGACGATATCAACCAAGATCCTTTAATAGGTCTTCTTTCAGTCTTTCTATTCCTATGAATTATCTTTTTAAAGCAATCAAAGATACAAGGATTCATATACAAAAATAAGTAATGCAGCATTATTCAGAATAGCTAAAACCTGGGGTGGGGGGAACCACACAATAGGGTATCATCAAATAAAATATATAAATATACATGGGTACTTTGTGAATCAAGCCATTTGAACTGCAAGGTCGGCAGTCCAAGCTCACCAGCTGCTCCTCGGAAATCCTATACAGGGTCGCTATGGGTAGGAACCAACTTGACGGCACTTCACAACAACAACACTTTGTGAATCATAGAAACATGACTTTGAAGAATAGCAAATGAAATGAGGAAATGTCTATATAAAGTAAAGAAAATTGGCACATGAAGGGAATTCTTTCCTTGTTAAATATGTGTGTCTGTTCACATAGACTCAGATTAAAGGAAATACCCCCAGTTGTGTGTGTGTGTGTGTTCAGGGTAAGAGTTATTAACTAGAGAAATTGTTAATAACTAGAGTTATTAACTCAAGGAATTCGTTTATGGGATTATTTTAATTTTCTTCTCTCTATATACTGGTAAAAGAGCTCTGGTAGCGTAGTGGTTATGAGTTGGACTGCTAACCTCAGTGTCAGCAGCTCGAAACTACCAGCTGTTCCACAGGAGAAAGATGAGGCTTTCTGTTCCTGTAAAGATTTACAGCCTCAGAAACCCTGTACAGTGTGGCTATGAGTCAGAACTGACTCCGTGGCACATAACCACCACCACCACCACCACCATACATGGTAGGAGTTCTGGTATGGCGCTGTGGATTAATGTGCTGGACTGCAGGGTTGTTTGGAACCTCAAAGGTTGGTGGTTCGAGCTCACCAGCCACCTTTGGAAACCCTATACAGGATCCCTGTGAGTTAGAACCGACTCGATGGCACTTAACAACATTCATTGGCATGTTATATAAATTTTCTACAACAATGCCTACTTTTACAGTCCAGAAAACAAAACTCTAAATAGCATCTTTTTAATAGCTCAAGTCTGTCAGTTGAGGATCTACCATGAGTTCAGAAGCCAATCTACATCCAAAAATCAACCTGTGACCAACCCTGTAAATCACAACAGTCGGATCCTCAACTGGTCATGGGATAGCTCACAGCTGGGCAGTGTTTTGTTCTATTGTGTACAGGATCCTCAAGAGTCAGGGCACAACTTGACTACAGCTAAAAGCAACAACCATAAGTCAAGACCTTTATGAGACACATCTTAAGTATTATCTTACTTAGTCCTCATACTAACTCTGTTGTTATGTGCCGTTAAGTCAGTTCTGGCTTATGGTGGTGGTGGTGGTGTGCTGTGGAGTCTGTTTCCAACTCACAGTGACCCTGTACAGGGTTTCCAAATCTGTAAATCCTTACGGGAGCAGAAAGCCTCATCTTTCACCTACAGAACCACTGGTAGTTTCAAACTTCTGACCTCGAGATTAGCAGCCTAACTCATAGCCACTATGCTACCAGAGCTCCATAACGACCTTGTATAGGGTTTGTAAGGAGTGGCTGGTGGGATTGAACTGCTGACTTTGTGGTTCGCAATCCAGTGCTTACCCTACAGTGCCATACCAGGACTCCACTAACTTTGATAGGTTATTATAATATCCATTGTTCATAT